TTATCATATGGAGGACCCTGGGACAAAATCTTATCAAATGGGGGTCCATCATGGTATAATTTGTGTCAGTTAATTGGTCCTTGATGTGAGAGACCACTGCCCTAGAAGAAACTGAACATACACAGTACCTTATATCCGGAAACATGTCCCTCAGAAAAGATATTTTCTACATTGCTGCATGTATAGTATGTGTGTTATTTCATACTTTCAGACAGCTCAAGGAGAAATATTGTACATGTAGGCGGACTGCCTCAAGATTTATTGAGCGGAGAATCAAACTGCAGAAGTTTTTTTTTAACTAGGTAGTTGTTCACACCTCAGCCAGTGTGTGAGGCAGAGTGGTGCCTGGTGATGTCTGCTCAACTCTGCTTTTGATTTTTTGCTTGATATACATGTTGAGAAAATTACTGTCAAAACTAGTGTATAAACTTTATCCTAATGAAATCAGACATCCGACCTCCAGCTTATTTCATTTTAAATCTCATGTAATTATTTGGCTGTCATGAAGTGACAGTCAGTACAAAGTCAAATGTTGATGTAACGCTAACAAGGGGCTGAGAGCTCTGTTGTTACTCACACACAGCTGTTGCTCCAATAAACCAACTGATCATGACCTGCCCAGGACCAAATACAGACAAATACAGCAAGGACACAGTGAGGAAAGTAGAACAGCAGATAGCAGCTATAGAGCCAACCGTTTTTATCTCAGGACCAGAGCTTAAAGCTCCATACAGTCTAAAGGTAGATGTCCATGTGTTGTTTGATTATAAAGCAGGTCCAGGTTCTATATTAATACTGTGAAAGTATCAAAGCCTCAGTCCACAGAGAAATGCACACAGCCTGTATTCAGAAACTGAGCCTTAAAACCAGCCGTCAGGACTTCTGGAACTTTGTGATGTCACAACAAAGCAGTCACCGCTCTCAGCCATGCTCCAACCCCACCCACTTGCACTTACCATCCAACAAGGCAGGAATTATGAAATCTGCTGTACTTTTATTAGATCACTTAGAAAACAGTCAGTCAATCAGAAGAGAGGAGGCTCTGAGCTTCTCTTCTGATTGGCTGACATAGAGAAGCCTACACTACACTGAGATGGTTTTTGGTTCTTAAAACCACAAATATATCTTCTTATGGATCAACACTTCAAATGAAACACAGGAGAAGAGGAAAATATGGAGCTTTAAAGAGAGTGAATACTGGAACTGGAAGTTATTCTGTTTCCTGGATGTAGCTGTATGCCAACATGTTCGCTATACGAACAACTACAGGATTATCAGTCAATCAGTTTCAATTCAAACAGATTGATTTATTTATGAAGCAGGTCTTGTTTCAGTGTGCTTTTTCTTATGCATGTGCATTTAATGTGTCTGTTGAATGCTGTTTATATTTCAAAAGAGCTCTTTTCAAAAGTCTTTTTTTTTTTGTCAATTAAGTTTTATTGGAGAATCATTTGACAGAAGGTGCAAAGATTATAACAGCTGATTAATGGTCTCCAGGTTTTTCCAGTGTATTCAACAATACAGTGACGGATAAAAGAGAACAAAACTGAAGCGGACAAGAAAAAAAACCACTTAATCTGTCTGACATGTCAAAAAGGGTCAGAGGCAAGGAAAGGGAGACCTCACCAGGCCTGACCCTGATCCTTTACATAGTATCAACTGCTCCTCCCCAGATACCTGATAAAAGGTGTGTAAGCTCATTCAGACATGACTGTGAGGACAGGGCCTGCTTTTTCTTCCTGAATATTAGGACAAGCTTTTTGCTGTTCAAAAGGTAGTTTTTAATTTATAATATAATTTTTCCCAATAACACGTTTTATTTCATAATGACACTTGTCCTGTTAGTGGAGTTGTGACACCTTTCAGCCAATGCCGGTTGTAATCAATTCCAGATGTGACCTTTTCTTCATCCGAACATTTTTATTCTCAGTCAGTATCTTGACTCTTTTCTCGCTCCTTCAGTCTGCTGACAAATAGAAGAAAAAAAATCCTCTTCTTGTCCGGTTTAAATTACCACACACACACACTTACAGACATTAGGTTAACGTGTTCCTCCTTTATCCTGATTTTAACCATCATGTTCTGAATACCTCATCTAGAACCAGAGAACCTCTCACAGGGTCCCGGTCTCTGTGTGCAGCCTGGACCGTGGTGATGGAAATGAGGACGTTTTGTGCTGCTGTGGCGTCTTGCAGTGTCTTTGACATTTCGAAGCTTTCGGTGTCTTGGCTCAGGCTCGCTGCAGAGGGCATTCACATGTGTCCCTGTGGGAGCCAGTGTGCAGTGAGAGGGATTAAGCAGCACTGCTGGCACTGTGAGCCTCGTGCTGCCCTTGTCCTTGCAGACTGAGGGAGCATGCGGGAAGCTAATGTTAGCCCAGCAGCCTCCTCCTCACACTTCATTTCACTTTATTTTGGCTGCCGCATCAGCATCGAGGCGGTGCTACAGCGCACGCTGTCTGGGGTGCTCTGATTCTCATTCGTTCTGCTTTTCCGTGACATTTTGTCATTAAGCTTCTTTCTCGTCTTGTTATGCAGTAAGTGATTTCTGAAGGATTGCTTTAGACCATTTATTTGCATATAAACGATGTGTTTTCTCCCTGCTGCTTATCCAGATTCACTCTCTTCTCTTTGATCTTATGGCTTATCCAACAACGACACTCTCACACAACAGTGTTGTGGGTTATAGTGAGGTCACCAGTTGAGGAGCCATCAGGGCCACAGGCTCGACTGTGGACCTCCGCCTCTGGTCATCATTCAGTGGAGAGTGGTGAACAGTTCAGGCTTAAAATAAATAAATAATGTCCATGGTCATGGGAAGGGCACTGAACATTAGTGTGTAGATGATGCAGCTCTGTGCCTGGTCTCTCTGTACCCATCATGCTAATGAGAACAAAATATAGCAGACAGAGGAAAAAGAGGAGTTTTATTTCTGTTTTTTTTGTTTGTTTGTTTTTTTGTCTTTTTTATTTCATACATTTATTTATTTTCTGAATTTTTAACCAGACTAATTTGAAAGGAGAGTAAAAGCTGAAAGTTGTTTTCAAATCTTGACAGCGTGACCAGGTCCAATGATGTCCAATTAATCTGCAGCTATTCTGACAACTGAAAATTAAGTCTTTTTTTTTTACCAACTCTCTCTCTCTCACTGTATCTGTGAGATCGGCCAGTCCACTGCTGATACCGATCATTTTTGGCATGCATTGCAGATGGCGTACATTAAATCAGTCTCACACACTTTTTAATTTATTGGAACTGTCAATGGACAAAACCGACCAGGAGCTTCATTCCTATCTTCAGTGTGAGCTCCACAGTGACTGACCTGTGAAATCACACAGTGGCTGCTGAGCTATAAAAACTGACTCGACAGTGAGACACAGTCTCAGCTTTGTCACGAAGCTGCATTCTCCTTGCTCTTCCACTTCCTCTCTCAGGCTTTGTCATCCATTATTTCTCTGAAGCTCCTTGAAACCCATCACTGTCACAAAAATAATTCTTAATTAGATACTTAATATTTAGTTAGACATAGCTAGTAGTGTGTGTGTGTGTGTGTGTGTGTGTGTGTGTGTGTGTGTGTATATATATATATACATATATATATATATACAAACAGTTTGAACAGTTTTTTTTAAGCTTTCCATCTAAAAACAGACTTCCCTACTGTTGTATTTCTTCTGTCACCACCTTAGACATCATCATCATCATCTTCATCCAGGAAAATGGACAAAAACAGTAGTTATCCATAAGGTGAATGTGAAGCACATAAAGTGTAAACATACATTAGTTACAGTGTGTTTTAATCACAAAGCAGACGACAGATAGCGACATCTTTCTAACACATCTGTTGTTCAGCAGGAAAACTTGTTACGTCCATCGTCCTTCTGTAGCAGCTGCACGTTGCTGCATTTTTAACTGTCCATATTGTGCCTGTGCGTTTTCCCTTCACAAAGAGTGACCCTGCTGCCTGTGACATATTGTACCGGCGGCGATGTCAGAAATAGCCCAGGGACTCAGCTCAGCTCCGGCAGAACAGAGGCGGCACGAAGGAAACGTAGGAGGAGCGGGAAAAGAAGGAGAGAGTTCGAGTACGAGGGAGCAGGAAAGTGTAAATCATGTAAGAGAGTAACTGGGAATATAATGACACGGTCTATAAAGTAAATGTCATGACAAAGTTAGAGAAGTAATAGAAATATAAAAATATGAAATATTACTGAACTGAGAGAGGAAAGAAAAAAAAAAAAGAGTTTATCCTCATATCTGGTCCGTGTGTGTGTGTGTGTGTGTGTGTGTGTGTAGAGTTTAGTTTCTGCCTCGAGGCCAGTTTCAGAAGGAAAGAGTTGCTCCAGTGACACATCAAAGCACCGACCTGAGATCGTCCCTCTCCCTCCTCTCAGCTGTGTGCAGGTGCATATTGATATGAGCACAAATTTGCAAAAGGGAGGAATAAGATGACGGGTGTTGAATTCATGTGGAAACCTTTGTTTTAAGTCGGTTAAGCTAGCCCCTGGATGGTATTTAACATGCTAGTTGCCTCATGTGTGCAGCCAGCTGCTGGCCGGTAGCCGTTGGTTTCAATGACTCACTTGTTCTCTCATTATGCAGATGAGCATCGTCGAGAGCGATACCCTTGTTCTTGTCTCTGTGCCTCCTCAAAGTGTAATTTGTCTTGATATATCCAGGGAGGGTGACAGGGGCTGTAAGGTTAGGAAAATGTCTCATTTGTTTGCCAAGGTAAACAACTGCTATTCCCACAGGTGAGAGCTGAAGCCTGCTTTGATGAATCACTGGATTGTGTTGCTTACATAAAGAGCACTGCAGCATTTTACTGTAGGCCTGGCTATTGTTGTTATATTAGTGCTTTCTTATATCTCCTGCACTGGTGTTTTTAGGGTTAGCTTTATGATGAGTTTGTTCTTTAACTGATGTCCTTCCTTCTCTCCCCTCCTTACCTCCCCTGTCCTTTCCTCCCACCTTCCTTTGTCCTCTCCTCTCCTCTCTAAGTCGTTGCCTGGCGGCAGATGTCTCGTAGCTTCCCTCAGAGCTCAGAGGCCAGTTGGAGTCAGGGGGCGGGTCCTCAGCAGCAGCAGCAGCAGCAGCAGTGATGCGAGCTTCAGTCGCAGGCTGCAGGATGAGCGTGGGTGCGCTCCTTAACGGGCTGCTGGTCTCCGTGGTCGCAGCTCTGCTTTGGAAGTACTCCAAGCTGAGCGAGCACGCTGCCCTGCTGGAGGAGGAGCTGCACATGACACGGCAGTCCCAGGAGCTCTCGCAGGCCCGCATCGATTACCATGTTGCCCTGCAGGCTCTTCAGGACCACGGCACCCGCATGGTCTGCACTGGGAAGATGCACACCGACCGCATCTGCCGCTTCGACTACCTCTGCTACAGCTCCGAGGCAGAGGAGTTTGTGTTCTTCCACTCCAATTCCTCTGTCATGTTGCCTAACCTGGGGTCTAGGCGCTTCCAACCTGCCCTGCTGGACTTGTCGTCAGTAGAGGATCACAACACCCAATACTTCAACTTTCTAGAGCTGCCAGCTGCGGCTTTAAAGTTCATGCCCAAGCCTGTATTCGTACCAGACGTGACACTGATCCTGAACAGATTTAATCCTGATAACTTAATGCACGTATTCCACGATGACCTACTCCCAGTCTTCTATACCATGAAACAGTATTCAGACTTGGATGATGAGGCTCGTCTGGTGTTCATGGAGGGGTGGAGTGAAGGCCCGCACTTTGACCTTTACCGACTCCTTAGCAGCAAGCAGCCACTCCTCAAAGAACAGCTAAGAAACTTTGGCAAGCTAATGTGTTTTACCAAATCTTATGTTGGCTTGTCCAAAATGACCACATGGTACCAGTATGGGTTCGTCCAGCCGCAGGGGCCTAAAGCCAACATTTTGGTCTCAGGGAACGAGATCCGGCAGTTTGCCAGGGCTCTGATGGAGAAAATGAACACCACCAGGGCGGAGGAGGCCGAGAAGGACGGAGGGAGCGCCGAAGACGAGAAGGAGAAAGAGAAGAAGGATGATTACATTGTTGTGTTCAGTCGCTCAACAACAAGGCTGATACTTAATGAGGCGGAGCTAATCATGGCGCTGGCCCAGGAGTTCCAGATGAGAGTGGTCACAGTGTCCCTGGAGGAACAGTCATTCCCCAGCATCGTCCAGGTGATCAGCGGCGCGGCCATGCTAGTCAGCATGCACGGAGCTCAGCTCATCACCTCACTCTTCCTCCCCAGAGGAGCTGCTGTGATGGAACTGTTCCCCTTTGCTGTGAACCCAGAGCAGTACACCCCGTACAAAACCCTGGCCTCCCTTCCAGGCATGGACCTTCACTATATCTCCTGGAGGAACACTAAGGAGGAAAACACCATCACCCACCCAGACAGACCCTGGGAACAAGGAGGCATTGTTCACCTGGAGAAGGAGGAGCAGCAGCGGATACTGGCCAGTAAGGACGTTCCCAGGCACCTGTGCTGCCGCAACCCAGAGTGGCTCTTCCGGATCTACCAGGACACTTTAGTGGACATCCCCTCCTTCCTGGAAGTCCTCAAAGAGGGCATGAAGACCAAGCCCAGCTTGAAGAAGTCAAAACCGGCCAGCACGGTCCACCCAGGCCGAGTCAGAGAACCTCAGTGTCAGACCTCAGTACAAAACACTAACGAGGCCAAACTCACAGTCTCCTGGCAGATCCCGTGGAATCTGAAGTACCTGAAGGTAAGAGAGGTGAAGTACGAGGTGTGGATCCAGGAGCAAGGAGAGAACACCTACATGCCTTATATCCTCCCCCAGCAGAACTACACCTTTTCAGAGAACATTAAGCCCTTCACCACCTACCTGGTGTGGGTCAGGTGTATCTTCAACAAGAACCTCCTGGGCCCGTTTGCGGATGTTCTTATGTGTAGGACCTAGTACAAACACCTTGCCAGTTTGTTGCTGCGCAGCTTCACACAAAGGTTGAGTCATGCTTGTTCTAGACAATCACATGAAATCAGTCAGGACAATGTTGTGACTTGTTTTTACAAACCTAGAAGAGGCTGTTGGACTTTTTCCTGCCCAGCACCGAGAGCACAGTGACTTCTGGACGAACTGGACGAAGATTTTAACCACAGGGTCAGAACTCAACTCAACAGCCGTTAATGAATGGAAAGTATATTTCATGTAACTATGAAGGAAATAAAGTGCTTAACTGTGTTTCTACTGATAATAACAGAATTCAGATCAGCAGATTTATTTATGTGCAGAATAATATATAACATGTTTTTTTAGTTTTAGTCCGAACACTGGTTCTTTACCTTTTACAGTATGCAATGTAGCTTTTCTGTGGAGAGCTAGAGAGATTTTAGATTAGCAAGATTTCTTATGTTTTTTGACTTGTCCGATGTTTACTGTGTGTGTGATACCTGTGTGGCTTAGTTTCCCCACTTTAATTTCATACACCATTGTTTGCATAAATGAGCCAATACCAAAGCAACTTCTCCCATGTTAGTTCAGCCAGTCATCATTCATGCCATATTACTCTTTCATGTTATGATCTCTCACACAGACGGTGACAAGTTAAAGGAAACGACGTAAAGTGTCTCAGTCAGGTGTTGTTGTCTCCACATCAGCTTCATTGCTCCAGGTCTCTGACCTATACTGGAGGACCAACCGTTCTTCATCAACATATTCCCTCATGTGGTGTTTAGATGATGGTGGTAAGAGCGCTGTCCAACATCTGCCATAGTGCAACTGGACTGAGATCTGGAGACTGTGAAGGCCACAGCATATGATTGACATCATCTTCATCCTCATCAGACCATCAGTGACCCCTGTGGACGTCAAGTCGGTCATTAAGATACAGAGAGAGAGAGAGAGAGAGAGAGAGAGAGAGAGAGATAAGTGGAGAAAGTGGGATAGAAGACAGAGAGAGAAAGAGAAATTATTATTATTAGAATATTATGTTTATATATATATATATATATACCACCCTTTAACTTTAATTGAATACCACTCTAAGGGGGCAAGTGGACCCAAACCATGGCAGCAAAACTGGATCCCCTCGCTGTAGGGGTCCAGCATTCAGACCTGGAGCAATCTCTTGGTGTAGACCACACATGACCTCACAGACCTGTGGAGAACACGGTGAAGGACGAGTCATCTCTGCAGACCAGAGCCTCTGGTTTCTGCTCCTGAACTCTCAGATGTGGATTCATCTCTGTAATGAGGGTTTATCACTGCAGCTCTACTGTAACATCCCTCTGTGTGTAACCGTGGACGACTTGTTGGTGACTCAGTGTGATCACACCCTGCACTGACATCCTCGGTCACCTTCTATTTTTCTTACATATTACACTGATGTCTGACCCTGTTTACTGACGTCTGTCCCATAGAGCTAAATGCAGATGTCACTTCAGTCACTAGCTGTGTTTCCACCGCAGTTTTGCGCAATATACAACCAGTTCTTTTTTAGAAAAGTCGATAAAACACGGTTGTGAATGGTCTGTTTCTAGTGATGTTATGTGAACAAAGCTGGGTTTTCTCCTTTCAAGATATCATTCCAAGTAAACGTGGTGATGGATTTGCAGCATCTGCTAATTGTTGGGATGAATGCATCCACCACAGTAGGTGCTGTGGTATTTGACCGAAGGTGACGAGGAAGGCAAGCGGCCACGTATCAGGGATTTTTGGGAGATAACAGTCTGCAATGTTTTTAGATGTCATGTGACTTGAAAGTGGAAAAAGTCTTTCCGTTTCACTTTTGCAAAAAACAGTTTTGTCGAACAGTCTGAAAAACCACCTCGTGAGTGTATATATTTTTTTGCAACATTTCATTTTTTTTTTTTTTAATTCACGTCTTTCTTTTACCCGTTTTTAAGTTCGAAATTTCAAATTGAGCATGTTAATGAAAACACGGCTACTGTTACTATGGAAACACCAGCCAGTTTCTGTGACAGAAGTTCCAACAATGAACCCTGTTTGAAAGTCACTTTTCAGAATCAGCTGGGCCTGATCAGCATTTCTATACCTGTCACAGAGCAGCTATAAAAATGTTAATCACTTAATGGTACCAGGCAGTTCACCAGTTTTTCCTTTAATTTCTCACCGTCTGATTCAGCTTGAAACATTGTCTCTAAAATAACGTTGTAAAAGGTTTGTGTAACAGAAGTGTCAAGCAGGAGTTTTCTTGAATGCCACTCGAATCAATGAAGACTTGTGTAATTTCAGATTGCTTAATGGAGGATGTTGTGCTCTGTAACAGCATCACCTTTTAATGATTTCCTCATGTTTTATAACTGGATGAATAAATACTCTTCTCTAATTGGCGCTAATTACAAGTGTTAAAATTATAACTGATGTGGTCGTAGAAATGTAGCAGATGGTTTATAGACAACACACTGCCACCAACATATTGTTTTATAATGTGCCATCGTTATTATAGTGTCATTCTTATTATTGTCCTCGAAACATAACACTGACTTCTGTAATGATTTGGACTTTGCCATGCGTTTTCAGTTTTTCACCTCACTAATATTTCCTCTGAAGTTCTCAGATGCAGTTGTGTTCGTTCATTTGTGCACTTTTAAGAGATTATTTGGAGCCATTGTGCAGGATGTGATTGTTTAGATGTGTATGTGTTTGTATTGTTGTTAGATCTGTGTGTCTTAGCTCAGTGGAGACGTCGTACTGTTTGTGCTGAGTGAAAGAAGAAGAAGAAGAAGAAGAGTGTCTCTGTTTTCTACATTAGCAGTACTTGGAGTTTCTTTGTCAGATCGAATAAAGAAGCTTATTTCTTACCCGTCTGTTTGGATTAAAATGTTTTTTTTTTTTTTTTTTTTGACAATAAAGTTATAACAAAACAGATTATAAGAAGCATATGAGGATACTATTAGAGAAAACACAATTAAATAAACCTTTTTATCTTGGCACCAAATGTTTCTGCTGGAAGGAAGAATATTTCTTTGAACTTGTGTTGTCAGGATTTTCTTTTATATTTGTATTTCCTTGTTTGGAAAAGGTTAGATTAATGTTAGTCTATGGTTCCCTCTTAACAAAGAAAAACTGTATAGTTATTGTTTTCCAAAATTGTACAATTAAGCTTCAAAGAGAGTGAGATGAGAGGATTGATCATGTCTCATCAATGTCATGTCTGTCAATTAAATATGACACTACAGCAACAACTTAGCCTGAAGAATGGATACACAAACAACCGGCTTGTTTCTGTCATAAGGTAACAAAATCTGCCTGTCAGCACCTCTTAACACTCTTACTAATTATCATGTTGTATCTGGTTAGGTTCATTTGTGCTCAGGTTTTGGTTTCACAATGTCCCACATCCCTGCTGGTTGCACATTTTCAGACAGTCTCAACCTGGAAGAAGAAAGCTTAAGAGAGATGCCCGAACCAATTGTACAGTCTCACCTCCAAACTCACCTCCACTCAGCCGGCCAGTCAGGGCGTGAATGATCGACTGTCAGTTGCGAAACAGTAAGTTGCATGAATTGTTGGACAAAGCCCCCAGTTATGATGTCAGGAAGGTGATGGGGGAGGAGGTCTGTGGGCTTTTTGTCCATCCAACAGGCAGCTCTAATGGAACATATTGGCAGTTTAAAGTGATGGTTTGGGTTATTAGACGTGGGGTTGTGTGAGGTATTCATCTATAGTCAGTGTGTTAGCTGCAGTAGATTCAGATCAGCGCTGACAGGAGCACAGGGATGAGCTGCTGTGGACGGGGTCAGCAGAAAAACCTGTTTTAGCCACTTACCCACAGAGAAAAGCTAACATCAGTTTAATGGAACGCTTTATATATTTCCACCGCTTTATCTGCCGTCAAACAGACCATAAAGTGGTGAAACTGTTGAAAATAAACCGAGTATAATAAATATTAGCTTTTTTCTGTGGGTATTTTTTTTAAAGTGGCTGAAATATGTTTTTCTGCTGACCTCGTCCACACCAGCTCATCACTCAGCTTCTATGCCAGTGTTCCTGCTGCTTCTCCAAACAAGGAGCGTGCGCCGAATCTACTGCACTACACTGACTATAGATGAGTACCTCACACAACCCCACGTCAGATAAGCTGAACTTATCACTTTTAAGTGATCTGTGTCCAGCCAACAAGTCATCCGGCACGACCACAACCTGTCGTTACAGCTCGGTTTGTTAGACAAGATGTTGTCAGACGCAGGCTGTAGCTTCATGTTTAGCCTATAGACATGAGAGTGGGATCAGTCCTCTTATTTCACTGTTGGTAAGAAAGTGAACAACACTCTCAAGTTCACTTTATACACAGAGGGAAGCTGCTGTGAAACCCCAGAGACCCCGGATGCTCCAAGTTCATGTGTGCAGGCTGGTTTGTGGTCATTTAACTGAGAATTTGACAACATCAACTGACATGAGAAAGGCCTGACGGGCTCTGCTTTAATCAGGCCCTGTCGAGGAGGGGCCCGGCGACAAAATCTAAATTTAAGACCTTTAGCTATTTCAGATTCATGTTTCCTGATGGTTACAAGTTCATAAATTCATTTGTTTTTGTTTGTTTTTTTTTTATCAAATTACCACACAGTCAATCTTGGACCACATAGGACTGCATTATAGACACTGTACACATTGGGAGGAATGGGGGCCCCGCAGCTAATTTAGTCCTGGGGCCCCTGAGCAGGTTAATCCATAATCACATTTTATATTTCATTTGCCACACAAGAGGAAGTGCAGACTGGAGCCTGAGGCCACAGTTTACCATTAACCCTGAGTCCAGCAGAACTCTGAGTGTGAACTGTGGCTGAAAGCTGGGTGTGAGCCATAATCACCCCCTGCAGGGAAATGATCTGTTATCTCTCCTGCAGCCGACACAGCTCAGGTCAGATTTTATAATCACTCCGTCACTGACTGAGGGGGAGGTGCAGATGTATCAGTCACTGACAAACAGTTTCACATGTTTCTGATTGGAGTACGGATGAGTAACAGTCTTCTACAGTGGGAGGAAAACAGTTTTAATTACCATCATCATTTAAAAAATCATTCAGTAATTAATTGTACTTATTCTTGTACGGGGTCACTGTGGCCTGGAGCCAATCCCAGCATGCATTTGGCAGAAGAAGTGATTACCAGTGCTTTGCAGGGCCAGCAGTCGTCCACAGTCCAGCTCACTTACTGAGGTTGGACAGTGGGTGGAATCACAACGTGCTCTCTGGGAATCTAACCACGAAAAATCTACTTTATTATCATTTTGGTCTTGTATTTGATGAAGATTTGGACATGAATTCCGTCCACAGAGACATCACTACACCAACGTCTGACTGGGCAAAAACACAAACAGTCAGATAATGAGGCTGTAAACAACGCAACAGTTATTATCTATGTGACCGGGTCATACACCCAGAATAAA